CTTTTACGTATTCTTTAAAGTTTTTCTCGTGTTTCTCCTCAGGGAATTCGAGCTGAAAGGATTTTTTAAAAAAATTTACCTACATTTAGCTTACTTGAAGATTGAGATACCCTAAGTCATAGTGTTTTTTCGGTTTTGATCCATAGCTCACATAATCTTGTGGGATGTGGTAGTTGAATTTCCGATAGCCATTCTAAAATCAGCTTTGTTACCATAGTAAAGTAAAGAATAACAAAGAAAAATGGAAAAATGGAAAAAAAAATAAGTGGAGAGGGATTGAACTCTCCACTTATTTCCTCTAAGCACATGATGCTGACCACTAAGCCATCCATTTGGTCTATTGTTGGCAGAGAAGAAAGAGCAGATACAAGGGGAAGAGAAGGGGGAAGAGAAGGGGGAAGGGAAGGGAAGGGAAGGGAAGGGAAGGGAAGGGAAGGGAAGGGAAGGGAAGGGAAGGGAAGGGGAAGGGAAGGGAAGGGAAGGGAAGGGAAGGGAAGGGAAGGGAAGGGAAGGGAAGGGAAGGGAAGGGAAGGGAAGGGAAGGGGAAGGGAAGGGAAGGGAGGGGAAGGGAGGGGAAGGGAAGGGAAGGAAGGGAAGGAGGAAGGGAAGGGGAAGGGAGGGGGAAGGGAGGGAGGAAGGGAGAGGGGAAGGAGGGAAGGGGAAGGAAGGGAAGGGAAGGGAAGGGAAGGGAAGAGAAGGGAAGAGAGGGGAAGAGAGGGGAAGAGAGGGGAAGAAGGGAAGAGCAGGTACAAGGGGAAGAGAGGGGAAGAGAGGGGAAGAGAGAGGAAGAAAGAAGGAAGAAAGGAAGGAAGGAAGTAAGGTACTGTAATCGATTGTTTCTTGTGTTTTCAAAACATTGCTCTTTAAAAAAGTAACCGTACTCCAAGCTAGTCTTTTTCAATGTTCGAGAAAGTCTTTAATAGTTTTAAATCGAAATTTTGAGTATTCTAGAAGAAAACTATCATGAAAACATAATGAAATCTCTTAAAATAAGGCTAAACTTACTATTTACATCAAAAAGTACAATGAAAGTACAAGGACAAGTAAAAAGCATAAGTACAAGTACAAGTACAAGTGGAAAGTACAAGTACAAGTACAAGCACAAGTACAAAAGTACGATAGCTTTTGCGTACTTGCGTAGAAATCGATTGCTGAGTATGTAAATGTAATAATTTTGGTTCTACTAGCTTTAATGCTTTGAAAAAAATCACCTTTTTCACTTTCTCTTTATCTTCATCACAACTATGATAGAAAGTAAGCGTTCCATCAATCGTTGTCTCATTTAACGGAAAGCCATTCGTGTTCCCGTCAATGTGAAACGATCCATCGACACCGGTTAACTTTTCGTCAAGAATTTGATTTAAATCTAAGCATTTTAAACTTAAAACTTTATTTATCTATATTATCTACAGGGTGACACAAAAATTTTCAGCTTCTTAACTCCTTTTTAGCTTTTTACCGTTTATGGATACTTTAAAACACTTAAAAATTAGTTTTAGTAATGAGAAAAAAGGTTTTGACAGTGAGGGGATTCGAACTAGAGACCCTGGCCCAAGGGGACTGCGACGGGCAAGCACACCACTACACTATTCGGTTGCCTGGCGTTGGGAAGTAATTTAGTGTCATACCACGGCGGTAGCACACTATCCACTACACTTAACAAACTTGCTGTGCTGTAGAAACGCGCTCTCCCGACTACTCTACGGCGCCACGTCATGCGGTTTGTCGTTAGGCGTTTTTTTTACGGCTTCATAGGGCCTCCGGAGTAGATTTGAATACAGATTCGAAATCAGCGTGGAAAACTGGTCTAGATAAGCTACGTCTAGTTTCGAAACCCGGTGATAGCTTAGTGAACGTCCCTTGCTAGTAGGATTAGCCTAACCTTGTAAGTAGATTTTTACCGTATCTTATTTAAATCTTCTAGTATAAATTAAAGCACTAAAGTTGAACTTAACAAAATAACTAAAGTAAAGTTCTTTAATTGATTTGACAGCAAAAAAAGATGGGAATCTGAAATCTCTACCGTCTTTTTTGCTTTGTGCCACGCGGAAAAGTCGGATGATCACTCCTTCAATGGGCTTTTTTCCGCAAAGTAGAACTCCCTAAAGCTTGATTAGCATTAAATCATCCATTACTTTATATCTAAGAATTTTAAAATAGAAAAAATTCTAATAGTTTCTTGAACTAATTCTCTTTTCATATGATTTTCGTTCGATTTTTTGGTTTTGTTCGAATGAATCGAATGAATTGAATGAATTGAATGAATCGAATGAATCGAATGAATCGAATGAATCGAATGAATCGAATGAATCGAATGAATCGAATGAATCGAATGAATCGAATGAATCGAATGAATCGAATGAATCGAAATTGAAATAAGGAAACAAATCTAGAGAGATAAGGAACCAGATCTAGAGAGATAAGGAACCAAGTTTAGAGATATAAGGAACCAAATTTAGAGATAAGCAACCAAATTCAAATAGATAAGGAACCAAATTTAGAGGGATAAGGAACCAAGTTTAGAGAGATATGGAACCAAATTTGTCGAAATAATGAACCAAATTTAGAGAGATAAGGAACAGTCTACTCTCAATGCTACAGTCACCGGATCTTGAAAAGAATCTCGAAAAATCGGTTTAGATCGAGACAACATCCTGAAGCCATTGGTTGAAGTCTTCATCTGGCTGGAGTAGCTTTTCACTAAGCTCCAACAGCATCATGTATTGCAGCGCTACGAGAGGGTTGGCCATCTTTCCACTTTGTGCGAAAGTGGGGGAGAAGCTCTGTTTTTGATCCCCGAGAAAACCAAATGAAGACAAACGTTGTTGGGTTGAATGTTTGCGTTTACGCGTTAGATAAGGAACCAAATTAAGAGAGAAAAGGAACCAAATTTAGAGAGATAAGCAACCAGATCTAGAGAGATAAGGAACCAAATTTGTTGAAATAATGAACCAAATTTAGAGAGATCTGGAACCAAATTTAGTTTTTTTTTCGATTCATTCGATTTCGATAATGAAAAAACCCTCAATTTCACTTAATTCTTGATTTTCTTAAAATAATAGAAAGAAAAACAAGAATTCTATAAAATCCATGCAGTTTCTAAATGCAAATTATCTTTAAATTTATAAAAAGATACGTTTGAAAGTTAAATAATGCGAAATTGAATCATTTAAACACTCAAAATAAGCCAACTTTTCCTCCAACAGCTCTTTTTGCGATCGCATCTGCTGCTGGTTGAGCTGCTGCGCTATCAGTAAAATAAAAGAGTAAAAGAAAATTGAATAGAACGATTAAGCATTGCATTTTTGGAGTAAACACCTGTAAAAAGTAAAAATCGGTTTTGTTTCCCAGATTTTATCAGCTTTTTTTCCTGAGCTTTTCCTGAGCCAATACGGAAAAGAAAAATTTCTTTGAGCCGTCAATTCCTTATCGATATTTAAAAGTTTACAATCAAAGAAAAACAAGAATTCTATAAAATCCATGCAGTTTCTAAATGCAAATTGCGTTTCTACAATCAAAGAAAACAAATCAATAAAATGAAATCAAAGAAATGAAATGAAATCAAAGAAATTAAAGGGGGGGGTATTAATCGCGGCCGGGTGACGATAAAAATTTTTTTACGGCAACCACCTGTTTTTTTTGTTTTAATATCGCTGATTTTATTATAAAAAGAATAAAAATCACCCGGCTAGAGTGATTTGATGGGTTTACAAATTTTTGGAGATGCTGCAAGGCTTGGAGGAAAACAAGATCGTCACTCATCAGACACCTCAGCACAGTCTAGATCGATTGAGTTTTAGTTGCAGATAAATTTAAAAACAAAATAAAAAGCACAAAAAGCAATAAAAATAAATTGTTAATCTATAATTCTTCCTCTTGCTCACTTTCATCTTCGCTCAAGTACAGCAGTTCGGCTCAAGTACAGCAGTACAAATCGGCTTCCTATCTTATCAATTTCCAGCGCATCTTCACCAAAAGTGACTGGATCTCCTCCATCGTAGGACGTCTTCAGCGCTTTGATTGACACAATTAGATCTTTTTTCATTTGTGGTCGCTTATGGTTTTAGTTTTCTCAAATAGGGGCCTTTTAGCTGAGGTGTCTGATGAGTGACGATCTTGTTTTTCTCCAAGCCTTGCAGTGTCTCCAAAAATTTGTAAACCCATCAAATCACTCTAGCCGGGTGATTTTTATTCTTTTTATAATAAAATCAGTGATATTAAAACAAAAAAAACAGGTGGTTGCCGTAAAAAATTTTTTATCGTCACCCGGCCGCGATTAATACCCCCCCTTTAAAGAGTTTCTTCAAAATCTTTGAATAGTTTTCCCTTTCCATTACAAAACTTTAGTCTAATTCTGTCCAAAAACAAATTTACATGTATTTTCAAAGCTTTTTGAGCAAGCTTGGCAAAAGCTAGACGTCGAAAAGATTGCTTTACATAAAGATAAACTGTTAAACCTTTAAATCCCTATAGAAACTTACAGTACATTATACAGGGTGGCTGAAAATGATCATTTTGCATTCAAAATTTTTAGAGAAAAATACCATTAAACAATTCTTAGATCAAATCGTCAATTGATGGCTCTGTTCTTTTAAACGATTCAAATTTTCCCCTGACACTTGCATTATTCGGATTTATCCTAGTCTTTGCGATGAGGTTGATCTTTTAAATATTGGGTTGTCCAGTTATGAATGCGCGTTTTTACTATTTTGTAAATTTCTCAAGATACCGAACAGATGTAGATGAGTGTTATACAGGGTGGCTGAAAATTACGTGCGCGCAGCATCTGACATAGTTTTAAACAATGTCTAAAGCATTACTACTCATCTTTTTGTGTTTTAATATTCTTTTTATCGTTGTCTATTAATTTTTTGTTAAAAAAAGTTGCTTTCTAGGTCATGACAAGCGACTCCGTCCAAATTTAGAGAGGTAAGGAACCAAATTTAGAGGGAGAAGGATAGTCGAAGGATAGTCGGGACGCAATCGCAAAGCTGGCGACGATGCGGCATGAAGAACCCGTCGATCGCATCGAGGCTTGGGGTGGCTCTGAGGACCGTCCAGAAGATCGTAAAGTAACGGAAAAATGAGGGGGAGGCCAAGCCCGTAAGAGGACGGAAGAGGACCGTTAACACCCGAAAGATACGTGGGATCATCAAGAGGATATTTATTATAATGTTTTTCTTTGTATTACAAAATTCCAGACGTCTCATTCTGTCCAAATCGTGTTTACGTGTATTTCCAAAGCTTCGCAGAAATCTTTGGCAAAAGCTAGACGTCTAAAAGATTGCTTTTCACACAGATTATCCAAAAGTAATGCGATAATTAGTGGCACGATTTGTTGAGTGATGAGTTTGAAGTTCTGTCTTTTGGTTGGTAAGGGGAGGCGTGGAAGTGAATTGAGAACAGAAATGAGATATCATTTAGGCTTACTACAGGGTGCTCAAAATTACCCGAACCAAGCCAGATCAGCTTTTTCTCTTCTCTTTGATTAAATTTGATTAGACAGGACAATCTCGAGAAGCTTCAATAGAAATAGATTCAATAGAATAGCTCCAATCGATTCCCCAATCTTGAAAACCCTTGGCACAAATTTACAGCTGAATACCTTTTGCCATCTACCAACAAACGAGAAATCCTTTCTAAATGGCAAAGTGTTCTCTATACGGCCGCGTAATCGCTCGCCTTCTGGCATATCCTCTTGATAGATACGTGTTCCGTTTAAGGAGAAGGATCGCTGAGGGACTGTGCTGGCCTGGGCTTGCTTTGATGTTTTAAGCGTCACTATGTTCAAGCAGAATACGAAAGAGGCCGAAACGGAAAAGAGAAACTTTTGAGGTCAATTTTTCCCTTAAATTTGGCTATACTATTCTAGAAGTTCTAAATCTTCTTAAACAAAGGTTTCAGTGAGAAAATAGAGCTTCCAAAAGATAGATCATTCCAATCACGATCACAGATCAACCAAAAATATTGCAACTTATAAAAGCTAGCTCATTGAGTTCATTTGCATCAGAGATTACTTTCAAAATTTGATTTTTTGAACAAAATTTGATTTTGGAAGCTCTCAAATTCCGTAAAGAGCTCGTAAAAATCAGTTCTCTTCCTTGTCTTATCTAAAATCAAAAGCAATTCTCAAAAATTCTCAAATCAGAAGCCTATATTGTTTTGATAATAGAAATGCTTTTTGTGGTGTAAAAATCGGATCAAATGAAAATGTTTTCTGCTTTTCTTTCGTTCATTCTATTTTCTTTTGCAAAGGCTCAAAATTATCAGGTTTATTAAAATAGCTGAAATTGCTGTAATAGCTGAAGTTGAAGCTGGAATAGCTGAAGCTGAAAGCTGGAATAGCTGAACGGAAAGCTGGAATAGCTGAAGCTGAAAGCTGAAAGCTGAAGCTGAAATAGCTGAAGCTGAAAGCTGAAATAGCTGAAGCTGAAAGCTGAAAGCTGAAGCTGGAATAGCTGAAGCTGAAAGCTGGAATAGCTGAAGCTGAAAGCTGGAATAGCTGAAGCTGGAATAGCTGAAGCTGAAAAACTTGACAAATTTTAGCCAACTTGGGATTCACTCGACTCACGACCGCTTCCTGATTGGTATGATGAGGGAAAATTCGGGATTTTCATGCATTGGGGCGCTTATTCGTCACCGGCTTTCAGGTCAGTGTAAAAATTTAGCTTTTAAATTCTGTTTTTAACTTCTGTTTTTGAATTCAGCTTTTAAATTCTGTTTTTAAAGCATTTTAAAGAAAGTAGTAGACAAATTGGCTTTGATGAATGCCTTTAAACTATTCTTTAGAAGCGAATGGCTTTGGTATTATTGGAAAGGAAAGAATGAGCCGGATGTGCTTGAATATATTCGATCCAACTATCCACCAAGGACAACTTATGCGGATTTTGTGAAAATGGTATCACATTAGCATTGATACAATAAAAATAATGTTTTCAGTTTAAAGGTGAATTCTTTGACGCTGATATGTTTCGGGAAATTGTTGAGGCTTCGGGAGCAAAGTGAGTTGAAAAAGGAATAGAAAAAGCTTACTTATCTTGGCTAAAAGTTAAAATAAAAACCCCCCCTTACAAAAAAAAAATTTGGGGGGGGGGGAAAAGAAAAAGCTCTTTCTTTACTTAAAGCTTGAATTAGATCTTGATCCTCAAGCTTCAAAATCAACTTCAGATACTTTGTGTTTACCACAAAACACCATGAAGGGTTCACAATGTGGCCATCGAGTGTTTCATGGAATTGGAATTCGATGAACATCGGTCCAAAGAGAGATATTGTTGGTGAGTGAATGAGAGATGAATCGATTGTTGAAAGATTGACAAACGATTGTCGAACGATGGTCAAACGGTTGTTGAATTGATTGGCGAACGATTGTCGAACGATTGTCGAATTGATTGTCGAACGATCGTTGAATTGATTGTCGAATTGATTGCCGAACGATTGTCGAATGGTTGTTGAATCGATTGTCGAACGATTGTCGAACGATTGACAAACGATTGTCGAACGATTGTCGAACGATTGCCGAATTGGTTGTTGAACGATTGTCGAACGATTGACAAACGATTGTCGAACGATTATCGAATTGGTTGTCAAACGATTGTCAAACGATTGTCAAACGATTGTCAAACGATTGTCAAACGATTGTCAAACGATTGTCAAACGATTGACGAATCGATTGTCGAATTAATTGTCCAATCCATTGTCGAATTGGTTGTCCAATTGATTGTCCAATTGACTGTCAAACGATTGTCAAGCGATTGCCAAATCCATTGCCAAATCCATTCTATCCATCCAAATCTATTGTTGAATCCATTCTCAAATCAATCATCACATCTCGTTTTAGGTGAATTGCAGAAAGCCTTTTCCAAATCAGATGTCCATTTTGGGCTCTACTACTCGCTATTTGAATGGTATCATCCACTCTTTGATCAAGATTTGGCGAAGAACACAACAGAATATCGAGATGTAAGGAATGAGCAAGCTATTGAATTCTTCTTTGAATATTCCTAGAGCCAGATCAGATCAGCCTGTAAGCCAGATCAGATTTCTTACAGTCAAACAACTATTCGTTCAGATAATTTCATTTTTGAGTTCAAAATTGAAAAGATGAAGGTCAAGCCTGGCTTTTGATCTGTTCTGGCAGCATAATATAATGACTTTTCTTGTTTTGAACAGTGATTGAACGTTTGCCAATTCTAGAAGATATCTTTTCCTCAACTTCTCGACATTGTCAACAAATATCAACCGGATATTTTGTGGGGTGATGGAGATTGGGGATTGGATGAAAACTATTGGAAGACAAAGGAGTTTATCACCTGGTTGTATAACGAGAGGTCGATTTTATAAGGAATTATTAAGGAATTAAACATTTGCCGTATTTTCTCTAATAGTAGTGCACCCAGAGCGTCGTCTAAATTGCTTGAAATCTCGAGAACCGCTTATCAGAACCTATCGATGTGGGGTCGGAAAATGTAGCTGACGATGAGATCTAGTGGGGGATTTGAGTGTTGAGCTTCTGGGAAAACTTTGGAAGCCGTAAAATAGGCATCAACTCGGCTCGGCTTGGTGACTACTATTAGAGAAAATACGGTACTAAAATGTCCGGTAATTGGCTTTAAGAAATCGGACTCTGACGGAACCAAGAAAATAATCTTTAGGTAGTTTTTTCTAATAGTAGTGCACCCTGAGCGTCGCCTAAATTGCTCGAAATCTCGAAAACCACAATTACAAGGGAAGTTCAACTGGCTGAGCCGGCCAAATGCTATGCGACCTATACCATTCGACGCAGAATTTTATTCCGAATCTATCGTATTCTCTCTAATAGTAGTGCACCCAGAGCGTCGTCTAAATTCCTCGAAATCTCGAGAACCGCTTATCAGAACCTATCGATGTGGGGTCGGAAAATGTAGCTGACGATGAGATCTTGTGGAGGGATTTGAGTGTTGAGCTTCTGGGAAAAATTGGAAACTGTAAAATAGGCACTCGGCTCGGCTTGGTGACTACTATTAGAGAAAATACGGTATATTATTAGACTTACATCAGACTTATCAGACTTACATCCAAATTTGTCAAACTCTTTCTGTAAGAGTCAATCTTTAGCCCAGTGAAAGATCGAGTTGTAATCAACGATCGTTGGGGTGATGGAACTATAGGAAAACATGGCGGTTACATGACCTATGCGGATAATTATCAAGCGGGTGAGGAAATCTAGATGGAAGTAGATAAAAGCTTGAACTTTAGGCGAGCTCCTCGAAAGGAAATGGGAGAACTGTGACTCGGTTGATCAATGGTCGTGGGGATATCGAAGAACGATGAATGTGGGAAGGGAAGGAGTTGATTTTGTTTCACGAGTTTCTCAGGTTTCCGAGCTATTGACTGCACATGATGTGATCGCTGAATTGGCGAGGACAATCTCGTGTAATGGGAATTTCCTGCTCAATGTTGGCCCAGATAGCTCAGGAATGATTCCGACGATTTTTGAAGCAAGGTATAGTCTAAAATTTCTGAATTTCAGTATTCTTGGTATCACTAGATGCGCCAAGTCTTTCTCTGTCGATTGGTACAAAAACTATTGAAATTGGACAGACCAAAGCCAAGATATTTGACCTCATAGTTGGATTGCTAATGGGAAAAGGAGCGGGGTGATTGTGGAAACTTTTATACGCGAGCCCTCGCCCCTTTTCTCATTAGGGCAAAAATGATTTAAACAACTGATAAGCCTTCTGAGCATTGACAATCTAACTTTAAGCTCAAATTTCTTCGTGCTGAGCTGTTCAATTTAAATAGTTTTAATATCATTGAATGCGCCAAGTCTTTCTCTATCGATTGGTAGAAAAGCTTTTTAAATTGAACAGCCCAAGACGAAGAAATTTGAGCTTAAAGTTAGATTGTCAATGCTCAGAAGGCTTATCAGTTGTTTAAATCATTTTTGCCCTAATGAGAAAAGGGGCGAGGGCTCGCGTATAAAAGGTCCCACAATCATCAAAAAAGGCGACAACTCGAAGAGGCGATTTAGGCACTTTCGTTCACAGAAACCTGGTGCCTATAGAAAAAGATAGAGCAGAAAAAGTTAGGTATATAGCTAAACTTTTAGCACAATCTGTTCAGCCACTTTTTTATCGAATTTTTTTTGCGAAAAACTATTGGGTTGATGCATAATTATCCGGACTTCTTTTATAAATGATTTTATTTAACAAAAAATAACATAAATAGTTAGAAAAATATGTTTAATTGATTATTCTGGAGCATATTCACCGCCTACATCAATAACTGATTGCCATTTGCTTGGAAGACGATCGATTCCACGAGCGAAGAATAAACGATCTTTGGAGGCAATCCACGCTTTAACTTCGTCTATCAAGTCATCCAAATCGTTGTAGATCTTATTTGTTTGCCAATTTTTGAGCGATCGATTGACGTGGTAGTCCGTTGGGGCTTCTCCAGTTCTTTGAGATCGCGAAACGACTCTGCGGCAGACCATCCCTTTTCGAAGTGGTAGAGCATGATATGGCGAAGATGGATATGATTGTCGACACGCATTTTGTTCACTAAAGAATAACGAATATTTAAAAAACAAAAAAGATACAAGCACGCAAAAAGAAGTCCGGATAATTATGCATCAACCCAATATTTTTTGCACTTGAATTTAACTGAAAACAGATCAAAATTCGCTTTAAATAATAGAACCTGCAAAAACAATAAAATCTCTGCGCCAATAAAGCCAAAAATTTCAGAACAAATTTAGATAGATCCAAACAGTTTAAAGCTATCAATTTGTTATCTTTAGAAATCTTTCGAATCTTTAGAATTGAATTTGTTTAGGCTACGCGAAACGGGTGACTTCATCAAAGCGAATGCTGAGGCGGTTTATGGAACAAAGGCATGGGTTCACCAAAATGACACGAATAACATCTGGTTGGTTTTGTTTAAAAACAAGCAAAGCTGGAGGCAAGCAATGAGGCGACAATTTTGGCTCTTAAATACAAACCAAGAACCACAGCTATTTTAGGTACACAAGTCGACTTCGAGATGATAAAAATTTGCGAAAAAATCGCTCATCAAATCCACAAGATGAAGAAAATACGATCATTTACGTGTGGATACTAGACTTGAATCAAACCGTGTACACGTTGGAGAAAGTCTCGATTGGAGAACGGGTAAATTGAGCTGTGCTTTGAATCCATTCTATATGTCAGCCGTTAACGAATGATTCGTTAGCGGCTGAATTTCGTAAACGACATATAATAAGCTGTCTCTCTGCTTGTCTCTTTATCTGTCTGTTCGTCTGTTTGTCTCTCTGTTTATCGGTCTGTCTGTCTGTCTGTCTGTCTGTTTGTTTGTCCGTCTGCTTGTTTGTCTGTTTGCTTGTCTGTCAGTTTGTCTGTCTGTCTATCTGTCTGTCTGTTTGTCTGTCTGTTTTGTCTGTCTGTCTGTCTGTCTGTTTGTTTGTCTGTCTGTTTGCTTATCTATCTGTTTGTTTGTCTGTCTGTTTGTCTGTTTGTTTGTCTGTCTGTCTGTCTGTCTGTTTGTCTGTCAGTTTGTCTGTCTGTTTGTCTGTCTGTTTATCTGTCTGTTTGTCTGTCTGTACGGACATTTTCTCGGCCGTGTTTTAACCAATGAAGCTGAGACTTCTTTTGAAAACCTTAGATTATAGTTATGCCATTTAAAATCAAAAATTAAAGACTCAAGATGGAGTGGCACCAGGGTAGGTCGAACCTGGGTCGTGTGAGCTGTAGACCTGAGAGCTCCTGACTGCGGTGACAATAAACGAGCGGCCAAAATCCGTCTAACACTTAATGACGGGTTTTTCTGGCTGAATGTTTTTCATAAGCCTAATGTTTTTCCAGAAAAACCCGCTCTTAAGCGCTAGGCAAGAGAAACCCGCCTAGCGCTTAAGAGCGAGTTTTTTTGGTCTGCTTTTGTTGTCAGCGTGGCGCGGACTGGAGTGGGCTTGTCTACAACCCACGGGGTCCAGGCTCGTTCCCCCGTCAGGACCTCTCAATTTTGATTTTTCAATTATTATTTTAAATGACATAACTAAAAAAGATTCTAAGGTTTTCTAAAGAAGTTTTAGCTTTATTATTCAAAACACGGCTGAGAAAATCCTTGTGTACGGCCCAAACGGTCCAGGCTCGATTCGGCTTGCATATACACTACTGGACAATGAAATATGATATTTGAAAAAAGGTCACTCACTTTCGCGCGCCTGTAACTCCCTTGTCTTTACCGTATTTCTAAATATTAATATTACCATTGTGTAGCCCTTGAAAAGAGCTTTCAGAAAATGTATAACACCAATAGTTTAAACTCAAAGACAACGGAGTTATAGACGCGCGAAAGTGACGATCAAATTTTCAAATATCATATTTCATTGTCCAGTACTGTAACTGGAATATGTTGTCGGGTGATGGTAAATGTAATCACCTCTACCGTAAACCCAATTTTACATAACTTATGAAGGAGAATAAGCTAAAGATGACAGCTAAAATGTCTTCAAACTCGAGCTTCAATCAAGTTTCCCTCAAAAAAGCGTGAAATTTCCAGACAAAAGTGTCGATTCTTTCGACAGAAACCCCATTGGATATCTCGATTGGAGAGACGGGACAATTGGTGGTTTCGATGTCGAAAATCCCATGGCAATCCCTCGTTCGCACCGATTGTCTTGTTCTAAAGATCGAGTATGCTAAAGGAGAAACGCCTCAAACACCTGAAACACCAAAGAAATCAGCGATTCTCGAAAAATACAACCTTTTCTCTCTTTTACTTTTGATTTCTTTAAGTAAATGTTTTTAGTTTTCGTTTCAGATTCATTTTTTCAGTTATTTGTCAGTGTCAGTTATGGAAAACAAGCTGAAATTTTTAGAAATGTTCTTTGATGTGTCCTTTATGCTTCATCATTTAAACATACCCTTTCTAGTGCACTTAATTCTTCGATTTCTTTCTGAAATCAGGTTTTTGTCATAAGAAAAGTCGAGAGTTGTATTTGAGTGCGCTAGAAAGGCTGGGTTTAGGTTTAGGCTGGGAAATTTGATCCTGGTATTGCTGGGGATGCTTTGAGGTTTATTTTGGCTCAACAAATTGTAAACACATGTTTTCTAGTGCATTAAACTCTTCATTATATTCGCAATTTCATATAATTACTGTAAGTTTGATTGAAATAAATAGTTGAATTCAAGCGAAAAACTCATTTCTTTGAGTGTTTTTTATTGCTTTGTTTTTGTGTTTTTTTTGAGTGCTTTTGTTTGGCTCGTAATCGCTCACAATCTAGCATACAGCTTCGGTATAAGAGCTTTCCTTTCAGGCTGCGTAAACGGGAAGGATCTGTTTTCATTAAACAAAACAAAACAAAATGAAATCACAGTTCTCTTCAAATTTCTTTAATCTTGATTTTTTTGAGATTACTTTCAGCTTTTCTTTTGATTGATTTAAATGATTGGTTGTTTTGTTTAAGTGCTTTTGTTTGAGTGCTTTTGTTTGGCTCGTAATCGCTCACAATCTAGCATACAGCTTCGGTATAAGAGCTTTCCTTTCAGGATGAGTAAACGGGAAGGATCTCTTTTCATTAACTAAAACAAAACAAAATGAAATCACAGTTCTCTTTCTCTAATCTTCATTTCTTTTAGATTACTTTCAGGTTTTCTTTTGATTGATTTAAATGATAGGGAAAAGAAAGTTTGCAGTCTTTTTTTCTGTATTCTTTTGAGCAAAAGGCTTTTCTGTAAACATGAAATGACCCGAAGAGTTGAATGGATTCGATGAGAGGGAAAGAGTGAGATGAAGAGTGAGATGAAGAGTGAGATGAAGAGTGAGATGAAGAGTGAAAAGAGAGTGAAGAGAGAGTGAAGAGAGAGTTCAACCACTCAACCAAGAACACTCAATGCACAAGAACACTCATTTTTACAACCATCTTAAGAATTTTTCGATCATAGCTTTAAGAATTTTTGATGATAGATCTCAGAAATCAAGAAATCAAGAATTCCTAATTTTTATTGCTTTGCTTTTCAAAAAATTCCTTTTTTAAGTCAATTTTCTGTCAAATAAATCACTCAAAAAGTTAATTTTCTTGTTCAAAATTGAAAGTGACATTGACAAATTGCAGAAAAGAATAAAAGAAAAAGCTCTGATTTGTTTCTTGAGAGAACAATCATTTCATGAACAATTGTAAGTCGATTATTGTTCTTCATTCAACTTTAATTTCATTATTTCATTGATCATTTACAACATTCACTTCTACTGATTTCACTTTTTCTTTTCAATTCATTGCCAAATTCAAATCCATTTCTTTTCACAACAATTAATTTCATTTTTTATAAATCATTGTCCATCAAAGCTTAAAATAAGCCAAAGATTTAAGGTTCACTTAAAAAAATAAACCCTTCCCTAGCTAAATTCAAGTTTTCTTACAGTAATTACCGTATTTTCTCTAATAGTAGTGCACCATGATCGTCGTCTAAATTACTCGAAATCTCAAGAACCGCTTATCAGAACCTATTGATTTAGGGTCGGAAAATGTGGCTGACAATGAGATCTTGTAGAAGATTTGAGTGTTGAGCTTCTGCAAAAGCTTGGAAACCGTAAAATAGGCATCAACTCGGCTCGGCTTGGTGACTACTATTAGAGAAAATACAGTAAACATATTGTAGTCAAGTTAGATAAGATTGATTTGTTTGATTATTAAAAATCATTTAAATTCTATGTCAAAAATGACTAAAGTTGGATTTTTATGCAAGAAATCTATGCATTTTTGAATTCTTAATTTAAAACAATTATATTTGATTGTATAAATATGATTGGATTTTGTGGGGTGATGGAGATTGGGGATTGGATTGGAAGACAACTATTGTAAGACAAAGGAGTTTATCACCTGGTTGTATAACCGAGGTGGATTTGATAAGGGTTTATTTAAACATTTACCGTATTTTCTCTAATAGTAGTGCACCATGATCGTCGTCTAAATTCCTCGAAATCTCGAGAACCGCTTATCAGAACCTATCGATGTGGGGTCGGAAAATGTAGCTAACGATGAGATCTTGTGGGGGATTTGAGTGTTGAGATTCTGTGAAAACTTGGAAACTGTAAAATCGTCACCAACTCGGCTCGCTGGTGTGCACTACTATTAGAGAAAATACGGTATATGAAATTACGAAGAAAATGAAGAGTTTAATGCACTAGAAAGCATGTGTTTACAATTTTTGAGCCAAAATAAACCTCAAAGCATCCCCATCAATGCCAGGATCAAATTTCCCAGCCTAAACCTAAACCCAGCCTTTCTAGCGCACTCAAATTCAACTCTCATTCAATTCTCAACTTTTCTTATGACAAAAACCTGATTTCAGAAAGAAATCGAAGAATTAAGTGCACTAGAAAGGGTGTGTTTAAATGATGAAGCATAAAGGACACATCAAAGAACATTTCTAAAAATTTCAGCTTGTTTTTCATAACAATTTCTTCAGCTTTGTTATAAATAACTTTTGAAATAGTTGTGTCTTTCTTGGAGCTGATGATTCATAAAAAAAATATGAAATTTTTGCATTTTTGATCATTTTCAATTAAACATTGAATTGCTTGATGAAAGAAATTCTTTTATTAAGATAAAATCTTTCTGTTTCCACCTTGCTAAGCTTTTCATACGTATTTTTTTCGTTCTTTTCGTCCAATTTGCTTTCTGTGGCTTTTTTCAATATTAATCAACATTAAAACAAAATAAATAAAGTTTTCTGAATTCCTGAATACACTTAATATTGCCTGTCAGGTTAGATCAGGCCAAAACCAGGCCTGAAAATTATGAATTGACTGACTTGGCCCGGAAATTTGGTTCTAGAATCAGCGCTGGTTGTTGTCTAAGAAATTCAATTGGATTCTCTGGATCCAGCAAATTATTATTACTGATTACGAATATACCGTAAATACTGTAATAGTACCCCACCGCCCTCGTACAGTCGCGTAGTCGCAAAAGTTTTTTAGTATTTCATTTTTTGCAAATCACCCGTACTTTCAAAAAATGTGTCTTTGGTATCAAAAAATAACCCTGAATTTCAGCTATTTTTTGATACCAAAGCGCGCATTGTAGCATAAACCAGTGTCGAGAAAAACGCGTTTTTTCGGGATTGTTGCGTAGTCTAACTTTAAACATCCCGTTCTCCGCGCTGCTTTATGCTACGATGCGCGCTTTGGTATCAAAAAAATAGCCCTTAATTTCAGCTATTTTTTGATACCTAAGCGCGCATTGTAGCATAAACCAGTGTCGAGAAAAACGCGTTCAAAGCTAGACTACGCAACGCTCCGCAACGCTCCGCAACGCTCCGCAACGCTCCGCAACGCTCCGCAACGCTCCGCAACGCTCCGCAACGCTCCGCAACGCTCCGCAACTCATTATGGGGCTGGGGTACTATTACAGTATTTACGGTAAGTATTATATTCGTAATCAGTATAAAAATTGGTTCAGAAAAGGTATTTTCGAAAAAAAAGGCCTCTCATGACCATGAAAAAAGCTCTAAACTTTTTGTATGCAATAAAAATGTCTCTTTTTTTCTGAAACACTTTCAAAAGCTTACATTTTTGTATGAGATGTTGAAAGCTAAGAAATAAATGTGCCAAATAGCGGACGTTTCCATTTCTGTGCATATTTCTGTGGTTTTTGACGAAAGTGAGACGACAGAACAAAAAGCTGAAAGCGTTTTCTTAAATAAAAACAGATAAACAGGCCAGTCAGATGTGATCAGTTAAAGCTCAAAGTTCCTTATTAAAAAGATTTCTTTTCTTAGTTGGATTCAAAAATTTGGTATAGATCAATTGAATCCAAAGTAATCAGCGTTAACAAAAGAACCAAATTCCCAAACTAAAGCCAACAATCTTTTAGAGCTAACAATAAGACAAGGCTGTAGAGAAAATTGAACGATAAGATCGATATCTTATCCACTTATCAAGATCATCGATATCATATCAAGATCGATATCTAATCCATTTAACTAGTCACTAGCTAACAATTCACTTCTCTTTCATTCCATAAACTGCTTAGCGAGCAATCAAAGTGCAATTTTCAGCGGGCAAACGGGTCATAAAGTTTCAAGTGAGGTGGACAGAAATGGGGAATGGTTAACCCTTTCTGTTCTGCTCTCTGTGCCTCTTTTGTCCTTTCCCTTCCTCGCCATTTCACATAAACAATTGCTTGAACTTTCCATATTTCAAAGCCATCATTGAGCTGTTTAGATGTAGACTCTTTCGTTGTTTGAACTTTATCTTTGTAAAAATTAGCTAAAATTTTGCTTTTTTTCTTTGTTTGGTGTTTGTTTTATCTAAATTTCTCGAAATCTATAAATCCATATTTTCTCTAATAGTAGTGCACTCAGAGCCTTGCCTAAATTCCTCGAAATCTCGAGAACCGCTTATCAGAACCTATCGATGTGGGGTCGGAAAATGTAGCTGACGATGAGATCTAGTGGGGGATTTGAGTGTTGAGCTTCTGTGAAAACTTGGAAACTGTAAAATAGGCATCAACTCGGCTCGGCTTGGTGACTACTATTAGAAAAAATACGGTAGTCTGGAGATCGAAATACAGACTAGATTGGTTTTAGAATTGAGTCCCCATACCTTGAGATATAAAAAGAAAGATTACCGATTAATTTTTACACTTAATATTGCCTGTCAGGCTAGATCAGGCCAAAACCAGACCTGGAAATTATGAATTGATTGACTTGGCCCCGGAAATTTGGTTCTATTAGGTTGGTGAATTGAAAACTGCGGGACTTTGAGCTAAAACTTTATTCAACATAAAACCATAAATTGATTCCAAATAATTTCCATTATTATTGGCGACTTCTGCCCATTTTACAGGAAATTTGCGGATTCCTCTTTCGTAGTAGGATTTTGGTTTGTGTGTGAGACAAGCGTGAGACTCAAAAATGGAGGACTGGAGATGCCCCAGTTTGAGCACTTTCTTTAAAAGAAACCCATTTTGGTGTCAATGGAAAAGTTGTAGAGAATCAAAAATGAGGCTTATAGCGAAATTTCCAAAAAGATACACTTAGTAGTTTCGCTTAAAATGCAAGTTTTGTGAAAATTCGTAAATTTGGCATTTCTTGAAAAACAGTGTTTTGAATCGTTCTGAAAATTTGGATATAAGCTTGATTTTTGATTCTCTACAACTTTTTCATTGACACCAAAATGGGTTTCTTTTAAAGAAAGTGCTCAAACTGTGACGTATGACATACAATTCACCAACCCAATAGAATCAGCGCTGGTTCAGGCCAAAACCAGGCCTGAAAATTATGAATTGACTGACTTGGCCTCTAAATTTGGTTCTAGAATCAGCGCTGGTTGCTGTCTAAGAAATTCAATTGGATTCTCTGGATCCAGCAGATCAAAGACGCTGATTTAGATATCTTAACAAATACTATGTCTAAAGTTATTCAGTTATTCGATCTTTCGCTTTGCTAGTCAAGTTGTATCAATCGTTTCTCTTCATAAACTCTTTTCTTTTATTTATTTCTCGTGATTTACCCTTTTTCTTCTTTTTTTTTCTTTTGTGACACACCATTTTACAGTCTTTTTCCAATCAAAAGATCGACTAAAAACAAAAAGAAAAGAGACAAGGAGAAAAGCACTCGAAAAAGATGCATCCACACACATGTTTTCCCCTTTTATGTACAGCAATGTACACACAGAAGATTCTGGTTTTTATAAACTTTTGAAAAAGCTTTTGAAATTGTTTTTTTTTTTTGAAGGTTTTTCTAGTCTTGAAGTTTGTAGTTTAAGCTCTAGATTCTGTAAAACTTTCTAGAGCAATAATTTTCAGAACTTTGAATGTTTATGAATATTGCTACTTGCTCCAAAATGCTGCTTGCTGACTGGTCATTGATATGCAAATCTATATTGAACGCTATATGCAAATGGTTTCATAGAAGAATATTGGACTTTAGATAGTCTTACCGAATATTAGTAAAACCTGTTTATACTTGTTTTCTAACTTTTTTAAAAAGTCTTCTAATATACCGTATTCTCTCTAATAGAGGATGCACTCTTTAATAGTAGTGCACTCTCTAATAGTATTGAGGTCCATGTGGGGGTTGAAAAAATAGTAGTGCGCACTACTATTAGAGAGAATACGGTAGTTGTGACGTCTCAAATAAAAATTCCAAAATTTAAGGGAGAAAACTCCAATTGATAGGTATGACGGGGCGTCGAACCGGGATTGCGTGAGTCGTAAAAACGCGCCCTCCCCACTACGCTATGCCAGAAAAACTTTGTCTTATAATAGTTGTCTTCCAATCCAGCCTAATGCCTAACAGCGGATTTTTCTGGCTGACGGTGACAAAAAGATTGAGTCTGAAAAACCTATCGTTAAGTCTTAGTCGGGTTTTTCTGGCCAGAGGCTTGTTGTCACGTTGGCGTAGTCGGGAGCAGGCTCTATTTATGCCCAAAATGCTGCTTGCTGACTCGTCATTGATATGCAAATCTAGATTGAACGCTATATGCAAATGGTATCATAGAAGAAAATTGGAGTTTAGATAGTCTTATCGAATATTAGTAAAACCTGTTTATACTTGATTTCTAACTTGGCTTCAAATGAATAAAGGTTTGACGACAAATTCTCTGTTTGGCTTGGGCATGGATTTTTTTTTATGATTTTTAAAACATAATTCTTTTTAAAAAAGTCTTCTAATATAGTTGTGGCGTCTCAAATAAAAATTCCAAAATTTAAAAGAGAAAACTCCAATTGATAGGTATGAGCGGGGTCGAACCGGGATTGCGTGAGCCGTTAAAACGCGCCCTCTCCACTAGGCCATGGCGACAACAAATCCTTAGCCAGAAAAACCAGCCTAATGCCTAACAGCCTTTTCTGGCTGACGGTGACACAAAGATTCAGTGAGAAAAACCCATCGTTAAGTCTTAGTCGGGTTTTTCTGGCCAGGCCCTTGTTGTCGCGGTGGCGCAGTCGGGAGAGGGCTTGTTTACGGCTCGGACAGCGTGACGGCTGTGCTACGGGTTCGGTTCCCCCGTAGTGTTACTCAACCCCCAATTTTTGAATTTTTATTTTAAATGACATAACATATATTATGTGAGGAGTTTTCTTTAGTTAGTTTAGTCTTTTTGGCTCAAAGATGGCTGAGAAAAAGCTCGTAGAGCCCATCCGTACAGACGTCGTACAGACACTGTTCTTTCGTAGTAGATTATCGGTAATGAATTCTATCCGATCCATTGCAATTCGACGTGTAAATATCCTCTTTGTTCTTGTAGTTTTCCTTAACATTTATCAAATTTATGAATATTATAACCTTTTCTTCGAGATAATGTAATTTTTCTTCGATTTCTATGGCTAGATCACAAAAGTCAGCAGATTTTACCCATCTTCCATCAATTTTTTTCAAACTCAAGACGATTATCGTGAAAGTAATTGCAAAATGAAGCTTTCTTTCTTCTCATTTATCATTATTAATTTAAAATTTCCTTTTCAGATAATTCAGTGATCGTATTCCTTGAAATTTACTATTCTTCCGACTATAGAAATTGCTTTAAACAAAGATGTCACTTTCCTCAAAATCCTCCGTGAGTTTATCAAAAAAGTTGCTAAAATTTTATAATTTACCTCAGAAAATTTGGTTTAAGCGATTTGAAAACAATTCTTTTATGATAATTTTCATTGAAATTGAAATTGACAAGTTTGAAATAGACAAAATTGACAAGACAGACAGGACAAGACAGAGAGGACAAGACAGACAGGACAAGACAGACAGGACAAGACAGACAGGACAAGACAGACAGGACAAGACAGACAGGACAAGACAGACAGGACAAGACAGACAGGACAAGACAGACAGGACAAGACAGACAGGACAAGACAGACAGGACAAGACAGACAGGACAAGACAGACAGGACAAGACAGACAGGACAAGACAGACAGGACAAGACAGACAGGACAAGACAGACAGGACAAGACAGACAGGACAAGACAGACATGACAAGACAAGACAAGACAAGTGTCAGTTCATTGATAACATTTAAAAGCCAGTTTCCCCATCACTTCAATCATAAGTCGAACTTTGCATAAACACTTTGTACAAAGAGTCGAATTATGAATGTCAATGATCTCGTGTATAAAACTTTGTGCATACTTATCAGTGTTTCTATTCTTTGTGCACTTTGTGTCTTGTCTGTCCTGTCTGTCTTGTCTGTCTGTCTTGTCCTGTCTGTCTTGTCCTGTCTGTCTTGTCTTGTCTGTCTTGTCTGTCACAAAGAATTAGTTAGAAACACTGATAAGTATTATCAATGTTTCTAACTGAATATCTAGAATTTCTTAAACCTTAAGTGAAAGTGAAATGCGGAAAAGATAGCTTGCTTTATTCCAGATTTGTAGAAAGAATTCAAATTGATTTTAAAACTTGAATTATGCTCTTCAAAGTCAAAAGGCAGTGATTGCAATGAAATTACTCTTTAACTACTCAAAAAAATCACTCTAACTCTTCGAATATGTTAGATAAACTCTATAGAACTCTTATTGATCTTTAAAGTTGAAGTGTGAAGCATTTGGCAGTAAAATAGAGTGTTGAAAAGAATGCGGAATAATCAAAATGGGGCGCCACCCGTGGTGAATCATTCTGAAAAGAGAAAGGGAAAAGAGAAAGAGAAAGAGAGATTGAATGTGATTGAATGTGAGAAGTGTGATTGAATTGATAACTTGTGCAATTTCTCTCTCATTCGTTTACTCAATTCATGCACAGAACTTTTCGATAGCTTATTTGAGTTCACTCATATCTCACAATTCTCAATTTAATCAATTTGAGGACAAAGCTGAGTTGTAAGCTGAATTTGTACTACTTTTGTACTTGTAATTTGTACTCTTGCTATTGCACTCTTGCTTTAAATAGGAATCAAGTAGATTTAAGTAGATTATATCAAGTATTTAGAGCGCTATAACTACAGTTTCAAGTATGATATGGATCTTATAGATATGAGTTCATCTCTTCAAGCTCTCAGCCTAATCTAGTCCAGCTCAGCCTCATCTAGTCTAGCTCAGCCTAACCTAGTCCAGCTCAGCCTAACCTAGTCCAGCTCAGCCTAATCTAGTCCAGCTCAGCCTAATCTAGTCCAGCTCAGCCCAACCTAGTCCAGCTCAGCCTAACCTAGTCCAGCTCATGAGCTGAAATCTTGCATCTTTCAGATCTATTCAGGCATCAAGTCCAGCCTATTACTAGTTCCAGTTGTTTGTTGTACTAGTTGTACTAGTTGCACTAGTTGTACTAGTTGTACTAGTTGTACTCCTTGTACTCGTTGTACTAGTTGTACTAGTTGTTTGTTTCAGATCCAATGTTTAATCTAAAATGATACTAGTTCGTAGCTCTAATGAGCACTCAAATATTATACCTCGATCTAGTCCTGTAACATTGTAGCTTCTTATGCAATAGCGCTTTACTTACAGTAGAAGATCTTTAGTTCGTAATGTCATACTAATCAGCTTTGGTTCTTCGCTTCTTCGGCATGCTCTAAACTTGACAATATTTTTGGATACACCTTTAGATTCTAGTGATTTAAGTGTCAATGTGGGTAAATAAGGAAATGAAAAATCGGTGCTTGTTGGTTAAACATCGACAGAGACGACGACATCGACGACAGACTCAACTCAGTTAAGCTAGAAGCTGACAACTTGTGACGGGTGATTATCTTCAGTGAAGGAGAGTGCTGGAGTCAATCAGTCGATCAGTCATTCATTAGAAAAGCGATAACCGAGAAGACTCGCATGGGGATGCTTAAACGAGAAAAGTCTTTGTGGATGTAGAGCCGACAAGCACCGAAAAATCATCCGCATTATAAAGAATCATCATTATAAGGAATCATCATTATAAGGAATCATCATTATAAAGAATCATCATTATAAAGATAAAGATAAAGAAAAATATAAATCTAGACTATAAACTATAAATAAAACCCTCAAAACTCTGCCTTTTTACTTTTAGAATCACATTCTTATGAGGCCAGTCACCAAATTTTTATCAGTTTTTCACGTTTCTCTTACCGACAAACATTGAGAAATCTCTAGACTAAAAAATTGAACAAAAACATTGTCGCTTTGCCAAAAGACTTATTTGAAGTCTTTTGGCAGACTTGGCAGACTTATTTTAAGCCAAAAGACTATTTGAAGGCTTTTGGTAGACTTATTTTAAGCCAAAGGACTATTTGAAGTCTTTTGGTAGACTTATTTTAAGCTAAAGGACTATTTGAAGTCTTTTGGTAGACTTATTTTAAGCTAAAGGACTATTTGAAGGCTTTTGGTAGACTTATTTTAAGCCAAAGGACTATTTGAAGTCTTTTGGTAGACTTATTTTAAGCTAAAGGACTATTTGAAGTCTTTTGGCAGACTTGGCAGACTTATTTTAAACTAAAAGACTATTTTTTAACCCTTTTTTTCTTTAGTCTTCCGAATCGTTGGACATTTCTGATATTCTCGATTGCGAGAAGCAACGAATCGTGCACAAAAAGAGAGAACAATTATTCTCGTTGAAGGAAGAAGACGGTGAAATGGCACAAGGGTACAGGTGAGGAATTGATCGGGATTTCATTTAACTATTTAAAAACTACAGTTATTCACACGAATAACAAACAAAGACAAAGCAATCTAGCTGGATTGAACCTTTGACCTTCCGACTAAGATACTGAGCTCTCTTCCGATACTCTTAGCCAGCTATGTCCACAATTTTGATTAACTACATAAAAAACCATCTGCTTTATATTTAAAGATGATTTAGCTTTGCTTTTGGTTGACTTTGTCAGTCTTATTTATGGGAAAAAGAACCAATAACCTAGCCGCGGGATTAAACCTTTGACCTTTCGACTAAGATACTGAGCTCTTAGCCAGCTATGAATGTCTTTTCCATCCTTTTACTTACGTTTAAAACCAACAAACCAATTTGAACTGCGGTTTTTTTCATTAGAAAGATGTCAAACCAGTACTTGGTCTTAACACTATCGAGCATTTGATCCTTCAGAAAAGCTAACTAAGTAAATCTTTGCTCAATCAGAATTAGAATCAGAACTAGAATCAGAATTTGATCAGAATTGGAATCAGAACTAGAAGAGGACTAGAATCAGAACTAGAAGAGAACTAGAATCAGAACTAGAATCAGAATTAGAATCAGAACTAGAATCAGAACCAGAATCAGAACTAGAATCAGAACCAGAATCAGAACTAGAATCAGAACTAGAATCAGAACTAGAATCAGAATTAGAATCAGAACTAGAATCAGAACTAGAATCAGAACTAGAATCAGAACTAGAATCAGAACTAGAATCAGAACTAGAATCAGAACTAGAATCAGAACTAGAATCAGAATTAGAATCAGAATTAAAATGTACTTTGCTATCATTCTGTGACTGATATTGATTTGTTCAAGTCTTTTAAAACAAATCTTTCAGCGGTGACCACTTGGAGAATCGAAGTCGAGCGAGCATCGGCGTCTCCCAGATCTCAATCCCATTAGCGTGGAATGGAGAGCAGCATTTCAAGCAAAAAGGAGGTACAATTGAATCATAAATTTGGCCAATTGATCGATGATAGATGTGTCTGAGCCTAGCCTAAGCCTAAGCCTAAGCCTAAGCAAAAAGGAGGTACAATTGAATCATAATTTTAGCGAATTGACTGATGGATGTGCCAAATTGTGCAAATCTTTTAACTATAGGAATTTAAAGAAGAGATATGTCGAGATTCAATAGAAATATTCGTTTAGCCGGAAAATCTTCTTCGCCTTTTTGAAATTTTCGTTTATAAATGAATAATTTTCGTTTATAAAAGGCGAAGTTTTATATAAAAAAGCTGAACTATTACATTTAGCTCATTTTTAAACAAATTGACTACCGAAATCTTTTGGTTTCTTTATTTAATTTTGATTTAAAATTTAAAAGTTTATTTAAAAAGCTTTAAAGCCACTTTAAAGCAAATCCGAACGGGTATTCTTGTCTTTTTTCCTAAAATCTTTAGGAAAAAATTGACATAGAATGGAAGCAGCTGAATCAATTTCTCTGAATCTATCTGTTTAACTTTTTATTCTTTATCTTTTGACTTTTGAGTTAAATGGGTTTCTGTGTTGAAATCAGAACAAAGCAGAACTTTAAGTTTCATCGTTTTTGACTCCTCCACCTTACACCTTTAAAAAAGCGTCGATCGTGGCGAGAAGGAGATCCAATTCTTCCAGATAGGAGATCCAACTCTTCCCAAGCCTTTTCGAGCGCTTTTTTCAAACTATCAACAATTTTGTGTGGTTGATAGCGTCAATTGATAGCATTTGTGATTGTTGTAGGCCTTTAACTTGAGCTTGTTTTTGATGATTCTTCTAAGGGATTTTCCCCAGTTTTTGTGACATTTTCCGCACCGAATAGTTTGACGTTTTCAACAGGCGATTCCTCACTTTTTTAAACATTTACTGAAGTTGTTACCGTTCGCTTTCTTCCCTTTTTGCTTTCGCATTTGGTTATCAACCATTCACAATGAATATAGAATGAATCACAATCAACTCAATAGAATTTCGCTTGCGATACGATCCTTTGTCCCTTTAGCATTTAAAATCTAACCGCAATAATCTGTTCTCAAGCTATATGAAGCTTGAGAACAGATTCTCAAGCTTTCAATTTGATTAAAAGCTTCTATTGAATGGATTCAAGCTCAACTCGATTTATCTAATTGTATTTACAAATTAGAATTCGAAAGTATTGCTAGAATGTCTCAAGGGTTCCCTAGGAGCTGTTGGCCTAGATTTTATTATTTTATTCCTTTTTTTTTTTTTTTTTTTTCTTTTTTTTTTTCCCCTCTTTCTTTCTTTTTTTTTTTCCCCCCCCCCCCTCTAATTCTTTTTTTTTTTTTTTTTATTTTTTAAAATTTTTTTTTTTTTTTTTTTTTTTTTTTTTTTTTTTTTTTTTTTTTTTTTTTTGGCCCCCCCCCCCCCCCCTCTTCCTTCTTTCTTTTTTTTTTTTTTCCCTTCCTCCCTTTTTTTTTTTTTTAAATTCCATTTAAAGTTTAAAAAAAAAATTTTTCTTTTTTTTTTTTTTTTTTTTTTTTTTTTTTTTTTTTTTTTTAAAAAAAAAAAAAAAAAAAAATTATAAATTTTTTTATTTTTTTTTCTCCCCTTAAAAAAAAAAAAATAATTTTAAAAAAAAAAAAAAAAAAAAAAAAAAAAAAAAAAAAAAAAAAAAAAAAAATTAATAAAAAAAAAAAAAAATTATTAGAATAAAATTATAATAAAAATTTAAACTTAATGCATCAGTCTTTACAACTTTTTCCATTGAAGTGAGATTTCAGTTGACGTTTGAACGTTTAATTTTATGAATTTGAGAATTTTGAACTTTTTAAGGTCTGATCATCTCTACTAAAATCTCTATAAAAACTTTAAAATGCAATGAATCAATAAGCAGTTTTTCTTTCATTGATTCCGCTTGATAATTAGCTTTCGAACGAGCCATTGCATTGATTTCATTCATCGAAATTCATTGAGTTTAAACTCATCATCTCCTAGATCATCTCCTAAAAAAAGCACACGAACTTTTCGTCAAACTCAATAGAATTTCGCTTGCGATACGATCCTTTGTCCCTTTAGCATTTAAAATCTAACCGCAATAATCTGTTCTCAAGCTATATGAAGCTCTTTCAATGAGTGAGCATTGTAACGGGAATTTTGGCTCACCCTGTACACCAGAAATCTTGGGTTACATTTCGATGTGGTGTCGGAATTTTGGCTCACCCTTTAGTATCAACCATTCACAATGAATTCTTAGATATTCATTAGATATTCATTCACTATTCATTAGATATTCATTAGAACGATTCATTAGAAGTATTCATTAGATATTCAACTTATTAATTATCTACTTATTTAGAAAGTCGATCCTATTCGATGTTTGTCACATTGCAAACGAAAACAAATGTGATTGACAGTAAAATTCTCTCAAATATCAACCGCTTGGACACTGATGTTACTTTTCCAGATTCTTTTGTCTTGTAAGTTCATAAATATAACTCAAATTCAGCTAAAATTCAGCTAAATTCTTAAAAAATGTAGAAATTAAAGCAAAAATCTTATTAAAATGCAATTTTAATAAGATTTCTCAAACAGATTCATTGAATTTATAGAATTTAAAGTTACAAGTCTAGCTAGACAGCTAGCTAGACAGCTAGCTAGACAGCTAGACAGCTAGCTAGACAGCTAGCTAGACAGCTAGGACAGCTAGCTAGACAGCTAGCTAGACAGCTAGCTAGACAGCTAGCTAGACAGCTAGCTAGACAGCTAGCTAGACAGCTAGCTAGACAGCTAGCTAGACAGCTAGCTAGACAGCAGCCAGACAGCTGCAGACAGCTAGCTAGACAGCTAGCTAGACAGCTAGCTGACAGCTAGCTGGACAGCTAGCTAGACAGCTAGCTAGACAGCTAGCTAGACCTAGCTAGACAGCTAGCTAGACAGCTAGCAGACAGCTAGCTAGACAGCTAGCTAGACAGCTAGCTAGACAGCTAGACAGCTAGCTAGACAGCTAGACAGCTAGACTAGCTAGACAGCTAGACAGCTAGACTAGCTAGACAGCTAGACAGCTAGACTAGCTAGACAGCTAGACTAGCTAGACAGCTAGACTTCAGCTTCAGCTAGACATTTTGCCTTTTAACAGCCTTTTAAAAGTCTTTTAAAAGCCTTTTAAAAGGTTGTTAAAAGACAAAATGTCTAGCTGAAAGACTTGAAAGACTAAAAGCCTTTTCGCAGCCTTTTAAAAGCCTTTTAACAGCTCTAACATTTGAAAATTTTATTTAATAATGTTTAAATCTATTTAATTTAATTAATTTGCCTAATGAGTTAATAATATTTTGAGCGAATTTTCAGTCACAATGAACCGGAAGACTTTTTCGTTGATTTGTGCATCTATGCGGCTCGGACAGACGGGGGAAATGATGGTAAATTCTAAAGAATTATTCTAAAGAATTATTCTAAATTCAATTCTCGTTTTCTTTCTCGTAAACATAAATCCTTTTCCAGTTCACTTTCCCCCCTCGTAGTCTGTTTTCTTTTTGCTAAAGATGAAAATTCTTAAATCTCTAGATATTATCCGGATTTGTTGAACGCTTTTTCTTCATAATTTTCCCATTTTCGATTAGAAAAGAGTTGAAAACGAATAAAAGAGACTTATTTCGTTAAAAGATTTGATGAAATTGCAGCCAGTGGAAGCCTCAGACAAAGAATCACGAGGAGTTTCGGGAAAAAATTTGGACTTCAAGTGGTGAGTAAGAGAAAAAACGACAGTTATCATAACTTTGTGCAAAACACAGAATTATAGCTTGATTTTGAAATCAATTGGCTAATTCTGTGCACTAGATGGTGTAGGTTTCCATCTGGTTAAGCGCAAAGTACATCTTCCTAGTTAAAGAAGTAAAAAAAGAAAGAAAAGATTAAAGCAGGACTTCCTTTTCCGATCGCTTCCCAGTCAGATGCTCTAACCACTGAGCTATCTAAGACCCTTTCGCCTTTTGAAATCACTTGCCTAATTCTGTGCACTAGATGGTGTAGGTTTCCATCTGGTTAAAAAAGTACAGCTTACTACATCAAAAGACCATCTTACTACTTAAAAAACTAAAATAGAAATGATAAAGAAACATTTCCGGGAATGGGATCGAACCCTTCCCTGCCTCCTTTTTCGATTGCTTTGTAGTCAGATGCTCTAACCACTGAGCCATCTGAGACCTTTTGGCCAGGGAAGGAAAAGGGCATAGAAGGAGAAAGAGAAGAAAATTCGCGGCTTTTACCTTACTGACTTTCTACAAGTAAAGCTAATAAGATCTAGCTAACAAGCTAACAGCTTCAGAGCTAACAGCTTCAGAGCTAACAGCTTCAGAGCTAACAGCTTCAGAGCTAACAGCTTCAGAGCTAACAGCTTCAGAGCTAACAGCTTCAGAGCTAACAGCTTCAGAGCTAACAGCTTCAGAGCTAACAGCTTCAGAGCTAACAGCTTCAGAGCTAACAGCTTCAGAGCTAACAGCTTCAGAGCTAACAGCTTCAGAGCTAACAGCTTCAGAGCTAACAGCTTCAGAGCTAACAGCTTCAGAGCTAACAGCTTCAGAGCTAACAGCTTCAGAGCTAACAGCTTCAGAGCTAACAGCTTCAGAGCTAACAAGATCTAAATAGATCAGATCAGCTCAGCTCAGCTCTCATACAAAGCTATTTTTTGCTTTTCCATCAATAACATAACAGACTTAAACATAAATGATTGTTTTTATAACTTCAGTTTATTCAGAAAAGCCAACTTTCCGAACAGAGACGTCAGATCCCTGAAACAGTCGGCTCTGCTCATTTCAATTTGATCGCTCGTTGTCTACTCGTTTTGTCAGATGCAAGTGAAGACTGCAAAATTCATGATCTCAAGGTTTCAGCTTTCGGTCAGTTTAATACTTTACATGTAATTATATATACTTTATTTGATAAATAAATAAGTGGATCAGCAAACTTTACACAGAAAAAAAAGGGAAAATTACTCAGAATAAAGAAATTTAGAGCGCAAAACCGTCGAATAATAAACTACGAAAAACTGGCTTGACAATAGGAATTTTAATTTTAATACGAAAAAGCAATTATTGTGCTAGACAAGAAATTGTTCGCTTAAAAAAGGGGATGAGAAATTTCTAATGCTAATTGATAGAGAATTTCGCTATCCATTCAGCATTTTCGTTTGCATTTAACTGCTTGAATATTTGAGATAAAGATCGAGCTGTATTAAGCTAAACCTTGGTAAAAGAATATATGTTACGTCCGAATCCGGTCATTGATTATCTTCTGGTCGGATCCAGACGTCTAAATCCGATCCGGGCGCCTGATAGGATTCGGACATATACACTTTATTTATGTAAGAATGAAAGTAACAATGGAACAATGGTTTATTGACAAAATGACACAAGTAAACAACCCAAGAAATTGTAGAGAATGAAGAGAAATGAATTCCATTGAAATTGAAATTGAAATTGAATTGAAAAACAATTCAAATTCAATTGAAAATCAATTCAAATACAAATACTCAAATACAATTCAAATACAATACAAATACAATTCAAATTCAATTCAGATTCAAATTCAATGATTATCTAGTCAAATTCAATGGCTATCTAGTCAGATTCAATCCAAATTCAATTCAAATTCAAATTCAATGATTATCTAGTCGAATTCAATACAAATACAATACAAATACAATTCAAATTCAATGACTATCTAGTCAAATTCAATTCAAATTCAATCCAAATTCAATCCAAATTCAAATTCAATGACTATCTAGCAAGATTCAATCCAAATTCAATGACTATCTAGTAAAATTCAATTCAAATTCGAACTTGTTAAATGAATGAATTAAAGATATCTTGATTTAAGCATTATTTTGAAATCATTTGACGCGTACTCCTAAGAAACAAGAATGTTAAAAGAATATAAGATATCTAGGAACGGAAGGAGCTCAAACTAACCGACTAAATTCAGGTTTTTTTTAATATTTTTGCGTTAGATATGAATGCTGCAATGCTAAAGCCACCTTTTTCTTTTTATATTTGTAAAAGTTCTATAAGAATCATTTCTGTTTTAAGCTATTCTTTCAGCTGATCTCGCCGGTCCTCCCCTCTACGGACATCTCGTCTCTCGGCTCGTTTGTCTTCCCAATTCAGGTATTTTATGGAAAAGTTTTTAGAATATTGAATAGTACAAAGAGCCACACTTTCAGCTTTCAGACCAGACAGTTTACAGCTTTCAGGCCAGACAGCTTATAGCTTTCAGGCTAGACAGTTTACAGCTTCCAGGCCAGACAGCTTACAGCTTCCAGGCCAGACAGTTTACAGCTTTCAGGCTAGACAGTTTCCAGCTTTCAGACCAGACAGCTTACAGCTTCCAGGCCAGACAGTTTACAGCTTCCAGGTCAGACAGCTTACAGCTTTCAGGCTGTATTAGATTTGAGAGCTTTTGAACATTTCATTTAAAAAGCGAATCATTGAGACTATTTGGATTTGTAAGTAATCTTCTTACTTGAAATCATCAATTCAATCAATTCAATCAATTCAATCAATCAAAATCAATTGATTCACGATTTCCTCTATTAGAAAAGCCTATTATTTTTCTATAAAACATCATTGAAAGCTTAAGAAATGTTTTGTTTTTTGTTTTTGTCTGGTTTTTTGTTCGAAAGTGCGCAATTTTCGCAGTCAAACAACTTGATTACTCGATTTAGACACTTTCGTCTAAAGAAATCGATTTTTGTATTAATAGATAAAAGAAAGAGCGTAAAAAGTTAAGTTTATAGCTAAATTTTCAGAAAAATCTCTTCAGCCAATCTATTTATATCGCGCAAAACGCAAAAACGAGCGTAAAACAAGCTTTTTTGGTTGAATTTTTTTGGAAACAGGTCCAGAAAAGATAGAAAAGATTGAATATCCAATTTTCTATCTGTAAAAAGATAGAATATCCACTTTTCTATCTGTAAAAAGATTGAAAAGTGGATATTAAAGATCTTCTATTTGAAGGAAATCGTAAATCAATTGATAAACTTGTAATTGAACAGATTTCATAGTTTTTTCTCATAGCTAACCATAGAAATTTTCAGTTTCTCACCCGTTGGCCGACGGCATTCTGACGATTCGTCCAAAACACAGCGATAGCGTCTTTCAACATGTTCGATGTCGTTTACAGGTGACGTCTATTCTCCTATTTTCCCTTCGAGACAAACGGCGAATTATCCAATGATTTTCGATTACTGTATTTAGCTGAAATCCACCATCTTATCCTCTCTTTTTTTAAAGAAAAATTACCTTTTGTGAGGGTTAAGCCAACATGGATTTAACACCTCGTCGACCTGATGAGGGATTAGTTTCTAGGGGAGATTTCAAGATAAGAAGATTCGACAAAATGAAATCTCAAAAGTACGATAGGATACAAAAAAAAGGGCAAATTTTGCTTCGTTTTTGAAAACTTTGAGTCTTGAATCTTGCAAAATGTGTTAGCTAAAAGATCAGAAAGATTTATTTTTTACATGATGCGGATTTAAACATTTTCATCAATTTCCAACGATAGAAACCTGAGATCGATGAATGTTATCGATGAATGTTATATACTATTTGAAAGTTCTAAATCTCCTCTACAAAATAGGCTAAAACGCTTTTCAATTGATCGAAGCATTGAAGAAATTTCGAGGCCGAAATGCGAGTGACCAAAATTTATTGAATTCAAACAATTAAGTCAATAAAAATCATTTTTATTCTAAATGTCCACCATTTGGGAATCTCTATCAATTGCAAATCATGACAGGTGAAACTTTGATGATTTTATTAGGTTGGTGCCGCTAATCATTGCCTCAATCGCTTTGGAAAGGTCTCAACAGCTTTCTCGATCACACTCATAGGAATTTCATCTAAAGCCTTCTTCAGAGACTGTATAAGACTATCAATTGATGCGTGTGCCCTAGCGAAAGCTTTTGACTCCAAAATGGACCAAATAGAGTAATCGAGCGGGTTAAGGCGGCTAATTTTTGTGGCGTTTTGTTTGCCATTGCCGATTATATTAGGTACATGCATAAGAAATGCGGATTTCAACATTTTCATCAATTTCCAACGATAGAAACCTGATATCGATGCATGTTATCGATGAATGTTATAAACTACTTGAAAGTTGTAAATCTCCTCTGCAAAATAGGCTAAAACGTGTTTCAATTGGTCGAAGCATTGAAGAAATTTCGAGGCCGAAATGCGAGTGACCAAAAAAAGGAATCGAGTCACTTTAGGGACAAGTTTAGTGTGGTCAAAATAGAGTTAGCTTCCCAAAATTGAATATTTAAAAAGGATAACTATATATGAATTCATTAAAAAAGTCTAACGGAAATGCATTTACAGAAATTTAGATAGAGCGTAAGTTCAAAACCCTCAAAATTGTCAAAAAACCAAAAAATTGTCAAATTTTTCTTTCACAAAAAAGAAAAATTAGTGTAAAAACAAAGTTTTCCCATGAAATGATCAGAACTCTTAGTTATTTTGAATGATATTTTAGGGCTGTCATGTCATTATTTTCATCATCTCATCAAAATAATTAAGAGTTGGGATCATTTCATGGGAAAACTTTGTTTTTACAATAAATTTTTCTTTTTTGTGAAGAAGCCGATATCTATAGATATCGATGAATCGTTGGAAATTTATGAAAATGTTGAAATTCGCTTTTTTTATGCAATGTACCTAATATTGGGTTGGTGAATTGAAAACTGCCGGACTTTGAACTAAAATCTATTCAACATAAAACCATGCAGTCATTCCAAATAATTTCCATTATTATTGACGACTTCTGCCCATTTTACAGGCAATTTACGGATTCCTCTTTCGTAGTAGGATTTTGGTTTGTGTGTGAGACAAGTGTGAGACTCGCAAATGGAGGACTGGAGATGTCCCAGTTTGAGCACTTTCTTCAAAAGAAACCCATTTTGGTGTCAATGGAAAAGTTGTAGAGAATCAAAAATTAGGCTTATGCCGAAATTTCAAAAAGATACACTTAGTAGTTTCGCTTAAAATGCAAGTTTTGTGAAAATTCGTAAATTACGCATTTCTAACCTGATTTTGACCATTGTATCTTTTTGGAAATTTGGATATAAGCTTGATTTTTGATTCTCTACAACTTTTCCATTGACACCAAAATGGGTTTCTTTTGAAGAAAATGCTCAAACTGTCACATATGACAATAGCCGGCGGTTTTCAATTCATCAACCCAATCGATTCTAAAAAACGGTGTAAAAAGATGCAAATGATCATATAAATTGTAAATTGTAACTTTTATCATGTTTAGATGGGAGTTTTGCGATGCTTTGTGAACAACGATATTCGAAAGGGAAACGAGCAAACATTGCATCGGATTGTCATCACACCGGTGAGATTTCAATTTACGTTTCAAAGTTTAGTTTTATGAATTTGAGAATTTTGAACTTTTTAAGGTCTGATCATCTCTACTAAAATCTCTATAAAAACTTTAAAATGCAATGGATCGATAAGCAGTTTTTCTTTCATTGAATCCGCTTGATAATTAGCTTCCGAACGAGGTATTACATTGAGTTCATTGATCAAAATTTCATTGATCCCTAGGAGCTGTTGGTCTAGATTTTATTAACTTAATGCATCAGTCTTTACAATTTTTTTTCCAACTTTTTCCATTGAAAAGAAGTTTTTTACCAAATTGAATTAATCAATTTATTTAATCAATTTAATTACTCTAAATTATTAAAAAGGCCATTTCTCCTTTACCAAATTTTCTTTCCCGTCCTTTACCAAGTTGTCCAGGAATTCGAAAATCAAATACCGTAATAATTCTAATAGAAGACCAGTCTCTAATAGAAGACCACCCCCCTGACTAGACTTGTGTTTCGGTTGAACCGGAAACGTTCTTTTTCGGTTCGGTTTCGGTTTCGGTTTCGGTTAACCGAACCGAACCGAAAAAATATATTTTTCGGTTGAACCGAAACCGAACCGAACCGAAAAAATCATCTTTTCGGTTCAACCGAAACCGAACCGAACCGAAAAACTAATCTTTTCGGTTGAACCGAACCGAACCGAACCGAAATTCGATAACGTGCGATAAAGTGAACCAATGCAAAACGCAATAAATTTATGCGAATTACGCCAAACTCTCTTTATATTATTGCATTTTTGTTGATAAATTTGTTAAGAAATTAATTAGCTTTTCAAATTACAATCGCTAAAAATAATTTGAGTCAACCGAAACCGAACCGAACCGACAAACTCAGTTTTCGGTTGAACCGAAACTGAACCGAACCGAAAAATTCATCTTTTCGGTTGAACCGAACCGAACCGAGCCGAAAGACTCATGTTTTCGGTTGAACCGAACCGAACCGAACCGGAAGATTTCGGTTGACTTCGGTTGAACCGAAACCGAAACCGAACCGAAAAGAGCCAACCGAAACACAAGTCTACCCCTGACCCCTTGAAATCGGGACTTTTTAAAACTTCTTTTTAAGTAGAATGATAGATTTCGGTCCAGATGGTAGTAATATTTTAGCCCCGGCAGTTAAATTGGAGACGTAGTTTTTGAAAAAATTAAAAAATAACTTTTTGGAAAAAATTTTATGTGGTCCCCCACATGGATTTTTTTTTGAAAGATTTTCTATGGAGTCCGGGCAAGAAAATAATTTCACTTTTAGACATGTTTTTGGCATGTTTTGGGCCAAGGGCTATCGTTTGAAATAGTTTTTAACAATTTTTAATTTTTTGATTTATGTAGGGGACCCTTACCTACTTTTTTGACCGATCAATTTTGGGGGGTTGAAAATTAGAAGACCATGGTCTTCTATTAGAATTATTACGGTATATTAGGTTGATGCATAAGTGTTTTTGTTCCTTTTCGTCTGCCGTTTCAAGCCAACAAATGCACGAATTAAACTACGGTTGATTTCATTAGAAAAAGCAATTATTTTTCTGCAAAATAACATTAAAACGGGTTTAAAAATATTTAATGCCTGGATTTTCTTGAGAGTATGAAGTCGGGTAGTCAAAAAGGGCTAACTCGATGATGCGGTTTAGACACCTTAGCTAAAGAAAACCTATCTTCGTGTCAATAGATAAAAGATAGAGAAAAAAAACGTTTGATATTTCGCCAAAATTTCAGAGAAATTCATTCAGCCAATTTTTCCGTAGAGTTTTTTAGAGATTTTTACGAAAAAGGCGTTTTTCACTCTCGAATTTGCTTGAAAGTGAACCGAAATTAAAAGGTACTTTATTCAACATGAATAAGTGGATACAACACAACGGAGGACACAATTTTTACCCCTACAATGTAGTTAAGAAAAAACCCAACTTAATGGGAAAAAGAACACACACTTGATTTCGCCAGCGGGATCGAACCCTGGATCTTCCGATTAGGAGAGAAGATTCCTAACCAGTCGGCCAACTGGTTAACCATTTAAAAGAAATTCATTTAAAAAGATGCAAATTGAACAAAAAAACACTTTTTTTATAGAGCAAACTATAGATTAATTCGTGAATTTGTTACTTTTTAACAGAAGTACGAAAAAAACGAAAAGACTTATGCGTCAACCTAATATTTTTGAGTGATTGCATACGTTTGAAAATAAAACGCTTCATCGATTACATAGTTTCGCAAAATTTCAGATAACCCTTGACATCTACCCGTAAAAACTCTAATAGACGGCCATGGCCCCTCAAAATCGATCGCCCGATCGCCTCAAAATAGATGAGGGTCCCCCAAATGAATCAAAAATTTTAAAAGTGTTCAGAACTATTCTAAACGATAGTTCTTAGTTCAAAACATCGAATTTGCTTGAAAGTCAACCGAAATTCATTTAAAAAGATGCAATTTGAACAAAAAAACACTTTTTTTATAGAGCAAACTATAGATTATTTGGTGAATTTGTTACTTTTTAACAGAAGTACGAAAAAAACGAAAAGACTTATGCATCAACCTATTAATATGAAAGTATAGAAGTGTCTAGGTGATATCAATTTGAAAAAAAAAATCATCGCATAAGCAAAGAAATGGAAAACCAACCAGCCAACAACGAGAATTGAAAACCCACATTACTTTTTCCTCAACCCAATAGCTTTTCAGAAATAGTTCAAAGCTCGCCTCAGCTCGATAAAAACGAATTTTTATGTAGAATTTTCAATCGTTGGTTTAAAGAGAATCACTAAACGGATAGGCTTCAAATTTTACAGACTTATGCAATCAAATAAGCTCTACCTTTTCTATTTTGACACTAAAATAGGTTTGTATTGAAGAAAGTGTTCAAATTTTGCCCTTCAGCTAAGGCGCTTTGAGTGCTCGCCTTTGCGCCTTTGAAAATTCACAAAAACAACTATTGGGTTGGGGACTATGACTCGGCGCCAAACTTTAAAGGGACTTTTTGCACACATAAAGCCTTCTTTAAACATATGTTTGGTTTCATCAAAAGGATCCACTATTTCTCTACAAAATGACTTTTGAGAGATTCCACAAAGCTTTTCTTTCGTGGAGTTTATGGACTCCCAAACACAGCTAATCAAAATGGCAAAGAGCCCGACTCATCATTTGAACAGTTTCTTTCACATAAACCTTCTTTGGTGTTTATATAAAAAAGATAGAGCACATTCAATTACTTAAGTTGCCAAATTTGCAGGAAGATCCCACCAATGGTTTTTTCTAGATCACAGTTTGTAGTTTTTGTGAAAAAATGGCTTTTTCTTGAGCGGAGGCGCTGTTTGAATTTTCTTTTAAATGTCGTTTTGTAGAGAATTAGTTAACCATTCTACTCATATCAAACGCATATTATTTGACGAAGTCGAATAGAAGTTTTAGACATTTTTTTGATTTTCGGCGCCGAGTCATAGTCCCCAACCCAATACTTTCAAGAATTTCTCAAAAGCCATTTTACAGAAAAATAATTCATTTTTTAAATACTTCAAACAGAAGTCGTGTTAATGCTGCCATTATTTTTAAAAACGTTTGGAAAGGAAGACTGTAAAGACTTATGCATCACCCTAATTCCCTAACAGAACCAGACCAGAAGTCGGATCTAGAACCGACTTCTGGCGGATCTATATTCTAGATATTTTCTTTCAAATCATTCTTGTCAATTCTTTCTCTTTAGGGCTCTCGAGTTCTCCCATGTAACTTGGAGGATTCAGTGATTTTGATCATTGAACCAACAACTGAAACTCCCATCTATCACTACGTTCTCACAGGCGAATCAAAAGAAGCGATCAAAATCTGGACAAACGCCATCGAACATCAATTGAATGACGCTTGTGAGTAAGCTAGGAAGCTAGGAAAGCTAAAAGAGTCGAAAACTTTCTGATTATAAGTACAGTTGAACCTTGTTAGTGAACCTTGATAGTAACCGGATATTTTAGGATCCCTTTGAGTTGATTTAATACTTATCAAACCTCGATAATGAACGAATCTCGATAGTAAAACCCTTTCAAAATTCAGTTCACTAATGTTTCGACTGTACATAGGAAAGTTGAGAGTCTGAATTTGGTAAAGTAACGTGCTTAGGATAGGCTCGAACTCATAGCCATTGTTCAGCCATTGTTCAGCCATTGTTCAGCTATTGTTCAGCCTGTTCTGAGTTTGGTAAAGTAACGTGCTCAGGATAGCTTAGGCTCGAACTCATAGCCATTGTTCAGCCATTGTTCAGCTATTGTTCAGCCATTGTTCTTTAATGCAAATGATTATCACTAAAAAGGGAAAACGAATCAAATATTCGAGTTTTTAGTGATATGGGGTGAATTCGCGTACGTCTACTCTCGCTTATCCGTTGAAAGACCCAGAGAAGCGATTGATGGAACGATATCGAGAGATCGATCCTCACGACTTTATGATACAATCAATATTAGTGGTATGATTCTTTAAAACAATAAACTTAACAAATTTTCAATAGAAAAGTATATTTGGGGAGTTTTTCTGGGATTTAGACCTTCTGAAGTTGAATCGGCATTTCTGAAAGTTCTAGATTTCTAGATTTTCTATTCATCAGCTTTTTCTGCAAACAATAGTCAAATTTTCATTGAAATTCTCTCAACTCCAATCATTTCTAAATAAACCCAGCTTTAGGCACATTGAGCAAATCGTTTATGGGCTCAAGTGGCTATAATTCGACACTTCCAATTGGATTGCGAATCGCTTTGGCTGATCAAAACTCACCAATGAAAACGGCGCCAGTGAGGAGAGGGAAAGGACGGGCAAATGTGAAGGAGATTTTCAAGGTGAGACAAGAAATGTTTAGCTAGAGATCATTAGCTATTTAAGCTAATACTTTTGTATCGTTAGCACTAGCTAATTAGCTAGCTAACTAGCTAGCGAACTAGCTAGCGAACTAGCTAGCGAACTAGCTAACTAGCTAGCGAACTAGCTAGCGAACTAGCTAACTAGCTAGCGAACTAGCTAACTAGCTAGCGAACTAGCTAACTAGCTAGCGAACTAGCTAACTAGCTAGCGAACTAGCTAACTAGCTAACTAGCTGGGTAACTAGCTAGCTAACTATTAGGTTGGCAACTTAATAATGACGCGTCACTACTCAACATGTTTTTTGTAATTTCAAGCACCGTTTCTTCCCTCTTTTTTGCATATATACAAAGTAAAAGATGTCTGCATAAATGACATTTAGTGCTCCGAATTTCATCATTCGCTTTTTGGCAAAAAATGGAGGACAAAAAATTCCGTATTCGAGCGGTATTGTTCTACGATTTTTAGCAAGGAAAATCACCAGCTGAATCTCATCGCACGATCATCACTGTTTTTGGAGAGAAAAGTATAAACATTGGGCAATGTCAACGATGGTTTCAAAGATTCCAAGGTGGCGATGAAAGCCTCGTAGACGAGCCACACCAAGGACATCCTCCAGAAGTGGTCGATGATGACTTGCTCGCCTTAATTGAAGATTGCCCAACACTCACGGTTCGTGAGTTGGCAGAAATATTTTAAGTATCCCATACGACAATCGAAAACTATTTATACAAACTTGGGAAAAAGAATCGTATTGGAAAATGAGTTCCTCACGAATTGACCCAAAGCAACAAAATGGCCCGTGTCAATGTCGCCTCAATTTTGCTACAAAAATACAAATCAAACGACTTTTTTCACAGGGTTTTGACTTCTGACGAAACGTGGATCAACTACGAGAACGTTAAACGCAAAAATCGATGGCTATCTGCTGGGCAGACCCCTCAAACCACTCCCAAACCTGATGTCCATGGGAAGAAGATAATGCTCTGTTGCTGGTGGAACTTCAAGGGATTGGTGCATTATGAAGTGCTGAAACCTGGCCAAACCGTCGATGCTGATCTTTATTCGAAGCAATTAATGAGAGTTAACGAGTCTCTGAAGAAATTGGGGCTCAAACCGGAGAGAGTCAGATTTTTACACGACAACGCAAAACCTCACACTGCAAAGATCACTTATAAGAAAATCGAGGAACTTGGCTGGAAAGTTTTGCCCCACGCGCCTTATTCACCTGATCTGGCTCCTTCAGATTACTTTTTGTTTCGGTCGCTGAAGCACTTTTTTTGGAGGGAGAAAAGTTCGATGATCATGCTCGGATCATAAAAGCAGTGAATGACTACTTCGCCTCAAAAACTCCCAAGTTCTTCGAGGATGGGATCCGGGATTTGCGCAGAAGATGGGAAGAAGTCATAGATACTAATGGAGAATACCTTTCGAATTGAAAGCTCTTCTTTTGTGTTTTTTAAAAATAAATGATTTGTTACATAAACGCGTCATTATTAAGTTGCCAACCTAATAGCTAACTAGCTAGCTAACTAGCTAGCTAGCGAACTAGCTAACTAGCTAATACTTTTGTATCATTAGCTAGTGCTAAGTGATACAAAAGTATTATCGTAAACAAGTTAAAAGTTATTTTTCTATCTTTGAATACATTAAGATCTTAATTTTTCTTTTCTTTAATTCAAAGTTTTACTTTATTTTCTTAATAGAAAAGTACAAAATAAATCAATAAATTCTTCAATATTGTAACCAAAATTTTCGATTAAATTGAAGTGAAAGGGGCGGGATTTGATGGAGAAAAAAGATGAAGAAAAGCATGGTTAGATAGGGAAAGTTTAGTATGCGAGAAGAGCTCCTCAATTCACTTCCACCCCTTCCCCAATAAACCTAGAGACAAAACAAACTCATCAAATCGTGTCAGGAATTATCGCATTACTTTTGAATGCTCTTCTCTTGCCGTAAATCTTCTCTTCTTTTTATGAAAAGCAATCTTTTAGACGTCTAGCTTTTGACAAAGATTTCTGCAAAGCTTTGACATGTAAACACGATTTGAACAGAATGAGACGTCTGAAGTTTTGAAATACAAAGGAGAACATTCAAATGAATATAATGTCCTCAAGTTTCTATGGAATTTAAAGGTTTAAAGGTTTAACAGTTTAAGAAAAATGGAAATTGAATGCATTTATCTAATGCTAAATGATCTTTATAGTGAAATATTTGTAGTGAATATGTTTCAAATGACAATTTTCTCATTTCTGTTCTCATTTCAAATGAAAATTTAAAACTTAATGCAAGAATTTGAGTATTTATGTTTGATTTGAAGATTTATTTTGATGTTTGATGCAAAGGTTTCTTAAAAAGCTTGTAGCTTTCAATTTTTAAGCTGAAAAGCTTCAATCGGTAAGCTGAAAAGCTTTAATTAATAAGCTTATTGATCTTCAAGAGTTTGTAAATCTGTGTGATTCTTAAGAAAAGTAAATAAAGTCCTTATCTAAACTGTATTTCGCTCTGTTTCTTGTTTTGGATCCGTTTTTAAAGCACATTTATTGAAACTCAATCTGTGGTAGAGTATCTAGCTGTAGCTTGTAGCTTTCAATTGAAAGTGAAGGCTTCAGTTCAGTGAAAGCTTACTTAACTTATATTTTGGGAACGAGAGACTTTTCTTGAGACGAGAGACGAAAGAACGAGAGACTTTTCTTGAAAAAAAGAGACCCGATTAGATTACTGCTTTTTCTCTAATAGTAGTCACCAAGTCGAGTTGATCACTATTTTACAGCTTCCAAGCTTTCACAGAACCTCAACACTCAAATCCCCCACAAGATCTCATCGTCAGCTACATTTTCCGACCCCACATCGATAGGCTCTGATAAGCGGTTCTTGAGATTTCGAGTAATTTAGACGACGGTCATGGTGCACTACTATTAGAGAAAATACGGTATTATAAAAGAAATTTATCGCAGCTAACATGAATCTATTCCAGGATGTCACCCAGACTCAACCCACCTCGAGTCCAGCCTCAGCGCCGGTTTCTCAATCAAGTGAATCGGCCCGAAATTCTCGCTATATCATCAATTTGTCTGTTGGTGAAGAGACACCGTTGAAGAAGATTGCGCCGACTCAAAAGGAAACCAAATATCGATCGATCATTCAATCAACACCGATTACTATGGCAAGAAGTGGGTTGAAGAGTTGAAGGTCCTGGTTTGGGCTGAGTATACAAAGCATTGGTGTCCGGGTTCGAACCGGCCACTTCTCGTCTACCGGCTTTGCTAACCGGGCCGACGCTTTACCAATGATCTACAGCAATGTTTCCCATTGTCACCAAAATAGAATCTTATCTCTTATTGAAGTATTGAGTATAAAAGTTTGCAAACTCTAGCGCTAGACTTTAAACTATTTCTGAAAAAGATAGAACTGTTTAAAAGTTACATAGTGACAGAGAATGTTTCTATTTTCGACTTCACAGAACTATTCTAAACAAAGTTACTGAGAAAATAGAACAAAGTTCCTGAGCTTCTGTGTTTCAGTCAAATTCTAAATCTTAAAATGTCGAAGCTTTCATTGGCATTTACATCAACTTTCCAAATTTGCCCAATTTTCCCAATTTTCCCAATTTGCCCAATTTGCTTGAAAGCTTTCCTATTTGCATTCGATTTTTCAGCGCTCATTTCCCCATCCCATCTAACTCCTCCACCATCAAATTCCCCGTCTCCATCCCATTCTCATCCGTCACCCCGATCACTCATTCAACACCGATCTCCACAACCAAGAATGGGTTGTCGAACGCCGGAACCGGTGAGTTTTGAAACGCTGTCTCAGTCGATTTCACTCTAGATCTAGTAAAGATCTAGAATCAGCTCAGTTAAGCTGATTTTCTCTAACAAAATTCGATTGCTAGATCTGTTTGTGAAATTGAAAGGATTGCTCTGAGTACTTTGTGCTCAAAAATGAAAATCTACCCTTTCTAGTGCACCACTCTTCACAAATTGAGTGCATTATAAAGTGTGAGTTTCGATTTTTGAACAAAAGAATTCAAAACCCTGCTATTGATTTCCCTATTTACCCTTGCTGATGCTTTTTTTGAATCACTTTCAATTCTATTAAAGCTTTCTGCTTTACAATAAAAAATATTGAACTTGTAATTGGTTCTGAATCAATTCAGAGCACAAGTTTAGACGATTTTCTTGTCTTTTAGTAAAGAGCAAAGCTCGGATCTCTTTGAAAATTGTTTTATTGTAAGTCAAGAATGCCAAGAATGTTCTAGGCACTCACCAAGAATGTTCTAGACAAGATTTTCTAGGAAAGATTATGGCAGAGAGGTTATAGCACAGTTAGGTTATCACAGAGTTAGGTTATGGCAGAGTTAGTTAAGCCAGAGTTAGGTTATGGCAGAGTTAGTTAAGCCAGATTGCTCTTAATTTTGGCTTCTTGATTGAACTCTTGGTTCTCCAAGACTCTTGGTTGAACAATCATCAATCTTTTTCTAGGTGTTGATGCGAGAAAAAGCGTTGCGAGTCCAAAGGGTTGAGCTGAGACAGAGCTGGACACGGGGAAACGCGAATCAATTCAATGCATCACACTCAACCTTACAAGTCACAAGATTGTAGTCATTTGAAATTCAATTTATCTCATTGTACTTTACTTTTCTCTCAAAAATGTCTCTACTCACAGCTAGATACTCTACCAAAGATTGAGTTTCAATAAAAGTGCTTTAAAAACGAATCAAAAGTAAGAAACAGAGCGAAATACAGTTTAGATAAGGACTTTATTTACTTTTCTCAAAAATTACACAGATTTACAAACTCTTGAGGATCAATAAGCTTATTATTTGAAGCTTTTCAGCTTACCAATTGAAAGCTACAAGCAATTGAAAGCTACAAGCAATTGAAAGCTACAAGCTACAAGCTACAAAAAAACTTTACATCAAACATCAAACATCAAAATAAATCTTCAAATCAAACATAAATACTCAAATTCTTGCGTTCAGTTTTAAATTTTCATTTGAAATGAGAACAGAAATGGGAAAATTTTCATTTGGAACATATTCACTACAAATATTTCACTATAAAGATCATTTAGCATTAGATAAATGCATTCAATTTCCATTTTTCTTAAACTATTAAACCTTTAAACCTTTAAATTCCATAGAAACTTGAGGACATTATATTCATTTGAATGTTCTCCTTTGTATTTCAAAACTTCAGACGTCTCATTCTGTTCAAATCGTGTTTACGTGTCAAAGCTTTGCAGAAATCTTTGTCAAAAGCTAGACGTCTAAAAGATTGCTTTTCCTAAAGAGAAGAGAAGATTTACGGCAAGAGAAGAGCATTCAAAAGTAATGCGATAATTCCTGACACGATTTGGGTGATGAGTTTGTTTTGTCTCTAGGTTTATTGGGGAAGGGGTGGAAGTGAATTGAGGACAGAAATTTGAAATATCTAGGCTTATTATTAAGAACTTTTTTTCTTCCAGAACTTTGGTTTTAATCTATTACAGGAATAACCAATTCTTACATTTAAACCTCAAACTTTCTAGATAATAGTCTATGAACATATCAAAGTCTATCAAAAGTAAACACTCTTAGGAACTTAATTATGAAAATTTCTTTCTCTAGGCCAATCCTTTTTACAGGAAATAAAAGTAGGTAATCTAATCGGGCCTCTTTAAGCAATAGCAATAAAACAATGAAATCAAAACTGATTACATCATTTGTTTATATCGTCTTTTCTCTAATAGTAGTGCACCATGATCGTCGTCTAAATTGCTCGAAATCTCGAGAACCGCTTATCAGAACCCATCGATGTGGGGTCGGAAAATGTAGCTGACGATGAGATCTTGTGGGGGATTTGAGTGTTGAGCTTCTGGGAAAACTTGGAAACTGTAAAATAGTGATCAACTCGACTCGGCTTGGTGACTACTGTTAGAGAAAATACGGTAATCCAATCAGGCGTCTTTTTTTCAAGAAAAGTCTCTCGTTCCCAAAATATAAGTGAAGTAAGTTTTGACTGTTAGAATCTTTAATCATCAAGCAAGCCATCAAGCAAACCTTTTGCTACAGATAAACACAAATTGATGTAAATTGATGTAAATTTAGATCAAATTTTGGTATTTTAGTTTAAAATCCTTGAACTTAATTCATATTTTGGCTTAAAAAACGAGAAACTTTTCTTATTTTCTTATTTTTTTTTCTATTAAAGGCTTGTTTTTTAAAAATTTTTATATGTATTTATCTATTGTTTAGAGATTAAAGCAGAGGAATCAGAAACGATTCTCTCGACAACAAAATTATCGCAATTTATGTGTAGTGGCAGAACGTTTTTGATGGTTTTCTGTAGAAATGATTAAAGTAAATTGGTTGATCAATAGTTTATCAAGTATTAAAAGATTAAATTAGCTTCCCTGGATGATCACAGCTAGCTGATTACAGCCCTGGAGGATCACAGCTAGCTGATCACAGCCCTGGAGGATCACCTGCTTACGAGACCGGGCAAAATTTCCAGACAGTCTGGTTCGCTCTTAGATTTTATACTACCCAAAGCTCAAACGAATATGAAACCCAGTTCCCCCGCAAGCCCTTATTCTAGGCTTCATTTTGATACTAAATATCGCTAGGTTCTGTTTTGTCATTCTTTAGATTTTGATCAATCTTTCGCCGAACTCGATAAGCTTAACGAGTCCAGAAAAATTTTATCTAAAATGATCGAAATCTAAAGAATGGCAAAACAGAACCTAGCTATATTTAGTATCAAAATGAAGCCTAGATTAAGGGCTTGCGGGGGAACTGGGTTTCATACTCGTTGGAGCTTTAGGCAGTAAAAAAATCGAAGAGCGAAGCAGACTGTCTGGAAAATTAAGCAGGTCTACTCTTAGCTATCTTTGTTTAATATCTTATCTTAGTTTAGTATCTTAGTCAACAATTAAACCTAAGTTAGAATTGGTAGGCTCAATAATGACTAGCTTCAATCGATTCCCGATCCCTAAAAGCCCCGGTACAAATTTACAGCTGAATATCTTTATGACTGGCAAGGTGTTCTCTGTGCGGCGCGTAATCGCTCACCATTTGGCAAACCCGTGCGGTATAAAGTGTTTGTAAATTTGCCCAAAATTTGGCTATAGATTGCTACAAATTCTACTACTGTGAAATTATTTTGTTAAATGAAAAAGCAGCTAAAATTAGAGAACACCGGGATCTGACCTGGTTTGACCTAACCTTTGGGAAGTGGAAAGGGGGATATTTTTGCTTTGTAGTTTTTTGGTTGATTGAAAAGGATCAAATCGGTTGGTGGGCTAAGCCGGCGGAAGAATTTCTTCTGAAAATTTGTGAATTGAAAGTGAAACTTGTCGATGAAGTCTAAATGAAACAATTACAACACAATTACCGTCGCAAATAGTCTAGAACAATGAATTACCTACCGTAAATACTGTAATAGCCCCCACCACCTGATGGAGCGTTGCGTAGCCTAGCTTTGAACGCGTTTTTCTCGACACTGGTTTATGCTACAATGCGCGCTTAGGTATCAAAAAATAGCTGAAATTCAGGGTTATTTTTTGATACCAAAGACGCATTTTTTGAAAGCATCGAAGCTTTGAAAAAAATGAAATACTAAAAAACTTTGCGACTACGTGACTGTACACTCAAAGTGGCTAATGCTTTTGTGTTAACAATATGTAAAACTTTAAATGATTCAATTTCGATTAGTTTACAGTATCCCTACCGTAATCCCTCTAATAGTGGGCTAATAGTAGCGACCCTGTATAATGATCGAAGCATCGCGTAGTCTAACTTTAAACGCATTTTTCTCAGCACTCGTTTATGCTAAAGTTTACGCTTAAATATCAAATGAAAGCTGAAATTCAGGGCTATTTTTTGATACCAAAAATGTATTCTTAGAAAGTATGAGTGCTTAGAAAAAATGATTTGAAATTTTTTTGAAAAGAAAAAATAATTTTTTTTTTGCGGCTAAGCGACTACGCGACTTTACGGGGCTGGACGTTACTATTAGAGGTATTATGATAGGTATTTTGATAAGGAAATAAACAAAAATTTGGATAATTTATTGTAATTTTATCGTAATTTTATAAATTTTACCGTATTTTTTACCAAATCTAGAGAAAAATGCAAAAAAAGGCAAAAAAAGGCAAAAAACGTTAAGAAAACGGAAAACTCACTTTTATTAAACTTCTTTAAGTTAAAATATAGTTATAATTTAGTTATAAATTAGTTATAAATTAAAATTAAGAATGTTATCGTACTTTTTAAGGACTAAATCTCCATTAAAATATCCAAAATCGCATTTTTGACCATTTTTGAACTAAAACTACCGTATCGTTTAAGAAAAAGATGAAATTTAAAATAAAAAAAGATTCATTACCGTAGCCCAAGCATTTCCTATGTACTCTAGACTATTTATGTTCAAATCTACAGTATCCCAGCAATAATTTCCAAAGTGGGAGTTCAATTCCTTTGCCCCCCCCCCTTTTTTTTCCTATCCCGATCAACTAAATCCGGTGTTGAAAAAAAAAAATGAGAAAAGATTTCATCAAAAATCCAGGGAACGCCTTCTCAAAAACATTTAACCTCTATTTATAAAGACTTTTTTTTAAAATAAACTCTCAAACACTTCGCTAATCGCTGTTGAAATGATCGCTGTTGAAAGCTGCTCATAAATGGCCGAATTTTTCACAAATTTGCATACTTTTATGCTGAGATTGACAGTGTTCCTCTTTTTTGAGCTATTTTTGAAACGCTCAAGCGGCGTGCCGGTGACAATGACAACGCCGAAATTTGACACGATGATTTCGTGTCTGGCTTTGTACGATGGTGGGGAAAGTTTCGAGTGGAAGTCAGCACGCTTTTTTTTTCATGTTGTGACTCACCATTTTGCACTTTGGTATAAGCAGGGAAGTGTTTCCTTCGATCTGCTTCACTTGCTTGACTTGCACTAGTTCATTTTCCTCTAATTTTTCACAGCTGACTAGACAAGATAAGGCTAAAGCCAGTACTCGTCCGCCCAATCAGCAACTAAACTGTTTAAGGCTCTAAATCTTTTCTAATTGCTGTTAAGTTTAAATTTTACCACATCATTTCCTACTTTCAATTCCTATTTAATCATTCGGTCAAGTTTCTCATAACTAAAAACATTTCAATTTCATCTCTTACTAATTAAAAACAGTATAAAATCAATCTCTAAATATTAGATTTACCAGTGATGAAACCTGCCTAACAGCAGGCGCACTAGCTATCGTGTAGCGGAGTTGGGAGCGCGATTATCTATATCTCCAAAACTAGTGAGCCAATTTTGGTGTCATTTTGTAGAGCAAGACTTGTAGATTCCAGTGATTTATAGACTTATAGTGAAGCTACATGTGGAAAAAGTTAATTTAGTAAAAAAGATAAAATTAGTTCGGATTCGGACGCCTAAAGCGGTTAGTTCAGATCCGAATCCGAACTAATTTTCGAGTTTGGTCTGAACTAACCGCTTTTGGCGTCGAACCGTAAACTTTATCTTTTTTACTAAATCACTGTAATCTACAAGCCTGCTCTACAAAATGACACCAAAATTGGCTCACTAGTTTTGGAGATAAAGGCCCCACACGATCCGGG